AAGTTATCCAAGTTTCTATCAAACAAGAAACTTCTCAAGTACTAACTTAACTTGACTAATTATCTGACTTGATTAATTTCCAAACTTGATTAACTTTCAAGTTTGATTAATTTTCAAGCTTAATTAATTACTTTTCTAAGCTAAGATATATGGTATATTTATATAAATTACATGTTATACAATATAACTGGTTCTATTGTTGTTGTTGTTAAGTTAATTAAACACGAGTGTTATCAGCGTTTCTGGTATTAACACGAGTGTTGACGTCGTTGTCATCATTGCTATCATTGCTGTCATTGCTGGTGTTAACACAAACTTAAGAATCAATAATATCTAACATATAATTGTCCAATAAAATAATAATTATCTAAAAATAACTATTCAATAGAAATACTAATATATATAATCCAATAATAATTAATATAAATCTTATCCAATATGATTGTTCGTCAAATGTCATATCATGATAGTATAAATAATTATCAAAATTATATCACATGATATTTTACATGTGATCAAAATATCAAATGGTGACAATACTAATATTTGATTAAAAGTGGATATCAATGAATGATTAGAAGTGGATATCAATATTGGTGGCATTAGAGTATAATTACATATTCCTAATTTTTCAGTATATAAATAAAAAATATAAAATGGTCTATACAAATTATATAAAATTATTATTACCTCTTTTTCTACTTATTTGAAATTGAGAAAAAAGATATGTTCAGATAAAAATCAAGTTGCAAGAAAAGAAATATGCATATTATTTTATGTTTCTATAAATAAAGAATACATATGAATCACCTTGAAGTAATATTTTACAGATGGTCTCCTTCCATATTTTTGTATTTGAATTAGTATTTTTATTGTTTGGGTATATTATTTTAACTTTTAAATAATCAGATATATCGATTGATCAAATATATTAATTGATCATAAAACAATACATAAAATTATATTTTCCATTTAAAGTAAGAAATTTAGGGAGTTGACATTTGATCAATTATCATTTTTAGATATTAGTAATAGATAATAAATATTATCTTCTAATAATGAAATAGTATATATTATAATTGGATAATAAATTCAAATTATAACATTAGAGATAGATTATAATTAGTCACATAATATTGATTTCTAATAATAAAATAACATATATATGATTGGATAATAAATTTGATCATTATAATCAATAATTATCAATTAAATTATATAAATAATGCCAAAACTCTAACAAATAATATTATAATAATTTATATATAAAATAAATCATTTAAAATTGAGCCATTTTAATCTATAATAATTTGGTTACTATCCAATAAATTGCAATATCTCTTTACTAAATAATATAAATAATAATATTTTCAAATGATTCTAATTGATTATAATTAAGATATTGAGTTTTCAAAACTGAATTAAATATTTGCAACAATAATGGTTAAATTTAAAAGGCAAAAACTTAGTTATTAACTAATTGAAATAAAATAAATGTCATGTAATTCTATAAACTAGACTAATAAATAATAACAATTTCAAATGATAGATAAACACTATAAAAATTGATCAAGAAAAAAATATTTAGCAAAATATAGAGGTAATATTTTGATTAATTTCCATCATAAAAATAAAATAATATAGGAGGTCAGTAGAAGAATGATAAAATAAATATGAATCAATTTAATTAACTTGCAATATATTATTTTATGTAAATATATAATGTATCAATCAAATAAATATAATATATATCAACAAACTAACAATTAACATCGATTATGATTGTATTATCCAAAATGAAACTGATTTCCAACAATATCCATTGGCAATCAATCATTAATATCCTAATCAATCATTCTTTAGTATGATTATATTTAAATACTAACTATACATATTAGCAATCAATTGCAAATCACTTCAATTGGCAATCAATTATCAACATCCCAACTGATTAATATTGATTATAATTACAAATAATTGCAAACTATTCTCGTTGAAAATTGATTGCCAACCATGTATATTGGTAATCGAGTATTAATAACTCACTGATTAGTAATGATCGTAATTACAATCAATTATAATCAATTCTCACTAGTAATCAATTAGCTATCTTATATATTGGCAATCAATTTTCAATACTCTCACTGATTAATATTGATTGTAATTGCAATTAATTGTGAATGGAACTCGTTGATAATCAATTGCTGCCAATTTTCATTGATAATTGATTATTAGCACACCATTATTTTCTATCACTAGCGGTTACAATCAATTGCTAATGATGTTCTTCAATGATTTTTGATCGCAATCAATTGTCAATGATTATAATTGATTATAATTGCTGACAATTGATTGTAATTCCTATTGATAGTGAATGATGAAGATGTTGATAATTGATTGTCAATGGGCATGATTATAAATCAATTACCAATGGGTATAGAAATTTTCTGATGTTTTGAACTAAAATTTTAATAATATAAATTTAAATTCTATTAATTAAATTACAATGTATATATATATAAGTCATATACAAATTAATAAGCTGAGATTTTTAGAATTCTATAAACAAGGTAAAATGAATATCTTTAAGTAAAGCATATTATTTTTTGTTTTCAATCTAATTAACTTTTTCAAAATTAGATTCAGACTGCTCTAATATATAGTATTTATATTAAATATTATAAATTCAGCTATAAATAAATACTTAATAGTGAATTATGCAAAAGATAATGATCTATATAAATATATAAATTCTAACAATGAAGTATTAACTTAAAAACAAAAAATAAAATGTTTATATGAAATCATTGCAACAAATTCACTATAAAAAATTTGTGCATTATGATTTTTATCCTAAAAATATATTAATATATATATAATTAAATCTTTTTATAGTCACATTCATTTATAATTATATTTCTCTATAGTTACCTTATTTTGCTTTTCTATTTATATATAAATATAATAAAAAAATTCTTCTATAGTTTATAATCACCAAAGTTTGCTTTCCTGAAGATAATGACTATAGAGAGATTTGACTATATTTGAAACTACTTGAATTATTAATTTGAATTTATCAAATCAACAAATATAGAAAAAACTAATCAAAATATTTGTAAAGTATTTTCTTATATAAGTTCAGAAATATTAATAAAAAGTTATATACTAAAGTTGCAGATATTTATAATTTTGGAATAGTATATTATTTATATAGCTTACTATATAAAAGCTCACAAGTTGAACTGAGATTTAAGAATTCTGGCTCAGATTCAGCTTGAGTCACAAAATCGTCAGCTTGAGCTTAACTCATTCAAGCTTTATATCAAGCTGGTTCAAGCTAGCTTAGCTCTTTCAGAACTCTAATTTATCTTTATCTTTATTTTATTAAAAAAAATTATCTAACTAAAATAATTTATTTAATTAAATTTTAAACCTTGTCATTCAAGTTATTTTTTGTAAATCTTAAACAAGATCAAGAAATCAAATATTAATTTGTTTAGAAATTGAATTTTGATTATTTATTTATTGAATCTTTAAACTTTAAAAAAATAAAATATATTTTTGAATTAAATATTTGTAATATTTTGATTTTTGATTAAAAATATTTGATTTAGATATAACATTTTATTTTCTCATTGATATTGAAAATACTAGAATATATATCTACAAATAGAAAAACACCAATATTATTTATTTTTAATTAATAATTTCTATTGATTTATTATATTTTGAACATATTTTTCCAATTTTTTTGATAAAATTATTTAACAATTTCTATCAAAATTGGTACAAAGTTAGATATTTATTTTTTACTAATCAATTTATTAATCTATTTCTTTCTCTTAATTCATATAACTTCTTTATTAAAAGTAAAAAAACTCTTTATTTAAAATAATCATAACAATATTTTAATTTATAACTTTTATAGCTAAAAAAAAGAAATACAATAAATGGAAAAAAAATTAAATAAAAAACTGCTAATTAATATATATTTTTAAATAACAATCAATATATCAATTTTATTTTTCTTTTTCATTATAATATTTTCATTTTCAAATATTTTAGTTTTAAATGAATTCAAGCAATTTTGTACAACAAAATTCATTATATAAACAAAATATCTAATATATTAATTCTTTTTTTAAACTTAATATTCTTATTTGCACATTTATTTCTAAAACTTAACATAATATATTATTATTAAATATATTATTCATTATTAATATTATAATCTAAAAAATAATATATAATTAATTGAATTTTAATATAAAAAAATTCAAATTCAAATCAATCTTGATAAAAATTGCTAATTTTCTACAACTTCTCTCAAAGATCTCACAAAAATTATTGCCAGAATATGCTCCAGACAACTTTACAAAATTAACCAGTGTTTTACACAATATCTAATTATCATCAATTTAATAATATGTTATTTCAAGAAAAAATATCATATTGTAAAAATCTCAAACATCAAGAATAAAAATATTAAAAAAAATGGGGATGCCTGGATTTTTACATGGAAAAATACAGTAATTTTTCTGATATACCTGTCATATCTCTCAAATAAACTCTCTTTGCATTAAAAATTTTTATAATTTCATTTTTGATAGTATCTACAGAAAATGATGTCCTCTTGAATGAATTAGCTTTCTCGTTTCTTGTGTTATTTGTTGAAAGTGTCTGGATTTCACCCCTACAAGTAAAAGACATTATCTAAAGTTATTTTGCTATAAGTCAATGCAATGACTTATCTATCTTTAATTATATGAGAACGAAATATAGAATGAAAAAGTGAAAATAACGTTATCATCTATAACTCCTCCTCTGTCAAGATACCATGAAACAAGTTTATATTTCCTTTTCTGTAATAAAAATAAGTAAAAAAAAAAACACTTAGTAAACAATCTCAGAAACGATTACACAATAATTTAAGTTGAATGATACTTACATAAATTGAATACTTGTATGAATATCTTTAAGATTATCGTCTTGAATGTTATCGCAGTTATTATTAAAGTACTTTTGAAGATGATCAGGAACTGGTTGAGGATTCCACACAATTTTGTTCGAAAAATCTTGTGCCAATCTTGGATTTGTGCCTCTGTTAATTCTTTACATCCATATAAGCTCTCTTGTGTATTTTCCTGGTACTTTTGAAAGCTTTTAAATAGATCGGCGCTATTGGAAAGTTTACCCTTAAATGAAAACTATTAGATATATCGAAATAAGAATACTAAAAATGTAGTTATTGAATCTGTCAACCTATTTTCGTCGATATTTTCCATCAAAATCTCTTCATTTGTTTCATCGAACAGCGTCCTTTGCTCTTCATTCGGTTTTTTTCCTCTACTGGTCCTTTCCTTTGATGGTACATTATTTTTTCCATTTGCAACTTTAGGATAAGCGTCGTTCTCATCATCATTGACTTCAATGCTCTCAACATCGGAATAACTTACGGATTTCTGTTTTCTATTATCGCATTTTATTATGGCTATCGTTTCATCAGACACAATTGTACGTATTTCTTTTGCTTCGTCGATGGTTTATCCAACGCAGATTTTGCATGGTTTAACCAAGTTAGTTCCTCATTAAAAATAAGAATATATAGACAGTAATTTACCCACCTTGGTAAATTGGTTGTGTCCGATATCCAAGAAGTTTCTACATCCGGTGACGATTTCTCATTCTCATATAGAAAACAGAGAAAGATATTAGATAAAAAGGCTTCTTAAAGCTACCATTGTAACCAAAGAATGAGAGATGTATGCCATGAAAACGAGACGTAGTCTAACAACTAGGAAGACGTAGTTCCTAGTTGCAACATGGCAATAGAGGCGTAGTCTATTCCCCGAGGGAAGACGTAGTTCATTATCACTGGCCAAGGCGTAGTCAGCCAGCTACTCGGGGTTTCCATCTCAGTTGATAATGAAGAATATATAATACATACATTGAAAGCGGCAAGGCATTTTATGGCTTGAGCACAATCCTCTTCTGATTCGTTATTAGCAATGATTTCCTCAAGCAGTTTCCTGTATGTCCTATGTTCAAGTAGTCTATCTCTCGTGAAATTATTCACATCCTTTCTGTATTTCAAGAAAGCAATCAACAGGACTGCATTTCGAGTACGCGTCTCGTTTCCGAAGTGACAAATATTAGCTAATATTCTAGAAATCGGATCATTTGGACAGTGTTACATTATAATCAAGTTGGATGTCGGATGGTTGGTGTCGGGTCAGCATCAGCATCAGAATCGGAATAACTATCCCAGCTCACCCACGATCGATTTTCCCTTCACGTGATTTTATGATCCGATTTTCCCGGCCACAATAATTACCCAAAACATTCCGCACTATTAAAGGTTAGGATTATAGGTGGAGTAAGATTATACACACCCCTACAGTATATTACCGGAATTTCAAAAATGAATTTGTCACTTTGGTACACGATATCTCGACATCCAGTGATCCTGTTCGAACAAAAATATCACCATTAGATTTATATAGTCGAGACGAATCTAAAGGTGATATTTTTGTTCGAGTGAGATCACTGGATGTCGAGATATCGGGTTCCAAAGTGACAAATTCATTTTTGAAATTTCCGATAATATACTGTAGGGGTGTGTATGTAAAATTGTCTTTCCGTCATTTTTTATTAGTGTTACAAGTTAGATTTAAGCATCTATTTCCCGTATTTTTGCATTGTTAATTTTTTTGTGCGGATTTGTTTTGCCGGTGATCAAAAATTTGCGCATCCTCATTGGTTTCGAGATCGTCAGGGATCGGAAAAATCACGTGAAGTAAAAATCGATCGTGGATGAGTTGGGTAAAATGTATCGGAATCACATGATCTGTCATTTTTTCGCATGGCTAGGGTATTAATGTTACACATGATTTTTGACTAACCCCATTATGTGGTATCTCAAGTTAATCGATAGAATATATTTATGGACTTTTTAAATGGTATTAAGATAAACATAATTTCAGAATGAGTAATACCATTATATTAATAGACAACATCTAAGGTCAAAGTATAAATCAAATTCTAGTTCACCATTAAACCGTGTTTTTCTATAGTGTAATATGCAAATATATATAGATTAGAAATTAGAGTAGGGGGTAATAATTAATTAAAGTAAATTACTAGATTAATCTCTATGTAATATATCTTTTTAATGCAAATACAAATTAGTAAGAATAGAAATTATGATAGTAAGAATATGGATCAATAAATAGAGAGAGACAGCACTTTCATAAATTATGATGTGTTTTACTACTCAAACATTTTTTTGATAGCTGCTGTTGAATATGATTTTGGTCTTTCAATTGGGAATCCCCTAGAAACAAATAAAAGCAATTAATTATACGAGCTCTTTAAATTTAAAGGAAAAATTGCTAACAAACAAAATCTGTACTTACAAAGCTCTATCCCAAATCAATTGACTTAATACACCAAGAGCCCGGGAAACACCAAACAATACTGTATAGTAGTTTTGTTCGGTGAGCCCATAATACTGTAATAGTGCGCCAGAATGTGCATCAACATTAGGCCAAGGATTTTTTGTCTTTCCATGTTCGGTAAGCACTTGTGGGACAATATTATACAATTGTGAGACTAGTTTGAAAAGAGGATCATTAGGAAGGTGTTTTAAGGCGAATTCACGTTGGGCTGTATATCGTGGATCCTTTATTAGTATATAAATACCAAGGGAGCAAGTATTTATTAGAAGTGCAAAAATGGTGCTTATTAGATACAAAAGTCAAGAATTAACTTACAGTTTTTCTAAGCACAGCGTGACCATAGCCTGGAATAACACGACCAGACTTCAATGTGTTCCACACGTACTCTTTAACCGTTTCGTCACTAGCAGAAGTTCCAATTTCGCTTTGCATTTTAAGAATCCAGCTAATAACCTCTTGATTTGCGAGACTTAATATAAAATGGATCGATAATATCATTAAGTTTTTTTGTTATCTAAATAATTAGCTAAATCGACATTCGAATACATACCCATGTAATGGACCGGCTAAACCATCAAGTGATGCCGCAAAAGCTAAATATGGATCGGAGAGAGTACTAGCAACTAAATGCTATAGAATCATTGAATATTGTTAAAAAGTTTCTAATAAAACAATTAAAATACAAAAAACAAATCATATGTACCGCAGTATGTGCAGAAACATTTCCTCCTTCGTGATCAGAATGTATAGTAAGATATAATCGAAATAACTCTACGAAATCCTTATTACTTTCGTATCCCAGTGTTTTGGCTAAATTATACGAATAATCTTTATCCGATTCAAGAGCAGGTAATTTTCCATCTTTAAATACATTTCTATAAATTCTTCCGGCAATATTTGGCAATTTAGCAATTAGGTCCATCGTATCTTCAAACGTGGATATCCAATATTCGCTCTTGTTTGCCCCGGATTGATAAGCTTTGACAAAATTAGAATCATGTTGCAAAGCGGTGACTGCCAATGAGAATTGTGACATTGGATGCAAAGTGTTTGGACATCTATCAATCAATTCTTCAACAAAAGAAGGAACCCCAGATCGAGCAACCCACTCTGCAGAAAGTTCACGAACTTGTTCTGTTGTAGGAATTTCACCAGTTACAAGGAGCCAAAAAAGTCCTTCTGGTAGAGGTTCTTCCCCACCTTCAGCTTTCGGCAAAAGCTTTTGGCACTCAGCAATTGTGTAGCCCCGGAATTTGATCCCTTCATCGGGATCGAGCACTGATCCTTCCCAGATCAAGCCTTTGATCCCTCGCATGCCTCCATATGCCATATCGACAGTCACATTGCCTAAACTTTTAGCACCGTGTTCTTTTTTCAAATGTTTTATTTCTTCTTGCCTTTCGGGAATTATTTCAACAAGTCGCTCTTTTAAGTTCTAAAGTAATATAACTTTATTTAACCGATTGAATCTCATATAATACAATTAAACAAAATGGAAATCATACTTTTGTTGTAGATGTACTTAGAAACTTTATATTTCTCGCAGAGATGTTGGCAATAGCAGGACATACTTGTCGCGAGTAAAAAGAGGAAGTAGAAAAAAGCTAAGAGAGCATTAAAAACGCAGAACGTCAGTAAAATGCGGTTTTCACCAGATTTTCTAATGTTCCGAAAACCTTCATACCACTTGATAAATAAAACAGTTTCAAAAGAAAAATTATGAATGACCTTTGATATATTAGATGCATTTCGCGTATAGGCACGTATCAAAGACATGACTTTAGGCTGAACACTCGTAAAAAGATAAAAGATTTTTGAATCAGATAATCGACGGTTTAATAAGTGATTTTTTGCTGTCAAAAAAGATTAGATTAAAAATTTTCTTGGTATCACACAGTTGCATATTATCAGTTTCATAGTTACGAATGCATAACGATAAACTAGTCTTAAAAGTCGACTCGGAACGGATTCGGCGCTCAAAATGTTACATACAAAATTTTGTACGCATGAGATGGAGACAATGACATTTATTTATCAAGGAAAAAATATTTGATCATTTGATCATTCATTATAACAATAATTACCATTTTCTTTACATAAAAAATGGCGGCGAAAGACCGACTTGCTTTTATTGGACTGGGCAACATGGGGTAAAAATTATAATTAAGCAATCTTTCCATAAATAAATAAATATAATTGTTAATTTTTTTTTCAAGCCTTCCGATATCTTTGAATCTTCATAATCATCTCAAAGAAAAGAACGATGCGCCACTTATTGTTAATAATCGAACGCTATCAAAAGCTGCGCCTCTTGTTGATGCTGGTGCTACTTTAGTGCATTCTGTGGCCGAAATTCCGGAAAGAGCAAATATTATTTTTACATCTGTAGCAAATGACCAAGCACTCGTAGATGTTTTAGATTCGATATTTAATGCTTTAGACAAGAAATCTGGACAAGAATTTATAGTTGTCGATCTTAGCACTGTTTATCCTACCACAATTGGAGAATTGCATGACAGAGCACAAAAGTTCACGAATTTGCATTTGCTTCATTGTCCTGTATGGGGTCCACCTGCACTTGCAAAGGTAAATGAGCTTAGAATTCAAACAAGAAAGAATTAATAATTTATATGAATAATTACTTGATTTAATCAAGAGTGCACAATTGGTCATCATAACATCAGGTGATCGACACGCTATAGATCGTGTGTCACCTTTTCTTGTTCCCGTGATTGGAAGAAAAATAATTGACGTTGGTATGTTTAACAATCGTATATGGTGTTTTATGTTGATGTATTAATTTGCTTTTTGTAAATAAAACATTAGGTAAAGATGTTAAAAAAGCCGCTTCATTTAAACTCAATGGTAACTTCTTTATCGCTGGAATTATTGAACTATTATCCGAAGGCTTGACCCTCGCCGAAAAAACGGGTCTAGGACAAGATAAAATGCTAGAATTCATTGATACATTTTTCCCCTTCGGCTTTTTTCAGCATTATGGTATTCGACAATAAGATTATTTTTTACTGTTATCGATAGTTTTTGATTTCGATCTATTTACATACCAGGACGAAAGATTCGCGAAACAGATTTCACATCCAATATTGGATTTACAATTGACAATGGGATGAAGGATCTTAGGTATTTTGGTGTTAATTATTTTACTTGCTTATATAAATCTGCGCACATTCGATTGTTGATATTTGAAAACGTTTTAGACACATGCGTCGCCTAGCTGAAGATTCTGGCGCACAACTTCCAATTGCTGATTTGGCATTCGAACATTTAGTTTCTGCTAAAGCCAATAAATCATCGGAACTTGATTGGTCTTCTATTGCCGGATCTTTGAGAATTGGTGAGCATTATGAAAAATCTAAATTCAGAGTATTTTGTGTGCTTGAATTATTTATTTTTACAAATATTATATTTTAGCCGCGGGTTTGCCCTTTTCTTCAGAGCAAAAAGATAAATCTTCTAATTAATAAATAATATGGTCCGGTGCAAAAAGATTTGTACCTCAAAATAAAGTTAATAATTGCTTCTAATAAAAGTCATTCAGAATTTAACTAATCTCTATAATTAAAACTCTGTTCGGGTCGGGTTTGAGGTCAACCCGAACTGATAATTTTGGGTTGGGTTTGATCAGAATAGTTTTCGTTAATAACTTTTATTTTTACTAAGACACTTGTATTTGTGTCTTAAGTAGAGTTGTTCGGAATGTAATTGTATATGGTGCATAACATCTAAAGTCATCAAACGTTTGTATTTTATAAAATGTATAAACTTCTTTACTAAGAAGTAAATACAAAATTTAATCCGTCAATATGATTAAAATTTGTATTTACTTCTTAGTAAAGAAGTTTATCTATTTTATAAAATACGAACATTGATGTTATGCATCATACGATGTTATGCAGCATACATCCACAAATTTTCATTAATATTGAATGAGAAATAACGATTTTTAGGCTGACCCGAAATATTTCGGATCGGGTTTGACCCCGACCCGAAGTGTGCTGTTCGGATCGGACCCGACCCGATTTGAGCACTATCTATATATAATTTTTTTATACTAAATAAGAATAACCTAGACTAACTTTTTATATTATTTTTATTATTCTGTTGTACTTTTATTCAATAATTTTATTTTTATCAATTTGCAAGATTAGAACTTCAAATTATGCAAGCATATTGTTATATATTTGATAAAAATATATTTCAAATTTCATAAAGATTAAATCAGTAATTATAGCAAAATTAAGTCTATTAAATTATTTATTATATATATTTTATACTAAATTTTATATAGACAGAATTAAAATTTTATTTTAAAAAAATAATTTATTAATGTTTGTTTTTGTATTATATCATAAATAAAATATTAAATCAATGTACAAATGAACTAATATTTGTTACACATATTTTGTGAATATAATACAGACAAATCCCTTTAAATATATTTTTCTAGAAACTGATAATGAGCATGCATTTAGAGAAAGTGTGTACTTAGAAAGTAATACAAAAATAATATAATTATATATCAAATTATTTAAATTAATCAAATATTCTGAATCAGTATATATATTTTATACTAAATTTTATATAGATAGAATTAAAATTTTATTTTAAAAAAATAATTTATTAATATTTATTTTTGCATTATATCATAAATAAAATATTAAATCAATATACAAATAAATTAATATCTGTTACACATATTTTGTGAATATAATACAGACAAATCTCTTTAAATGTATCTCTCTAGAAACTGATTATGAGCATGTATTTAGAGAAAATATATACTTAGAGAGTATAATACAAAAATACATTATATAATATAATTATATATTAAATTATTTAAATTAATCAAATATTCTGAATTAGTATAATTATTGATTCTCTAAGTATTTAAAGAGTTAGCATTAATAAGAAGAATCTTGATATAATATTAATATTCATTAGTTAGATCTTTAAAGTAGTATTTAATAAGAAAAAATAAATATCAATATATTAAAAATTCAAACTCTGTATGCTATAATTTATATAATTGTTAAGTAATAAAAAAATATATTAATCTTTATATTTTACTGTAATTTGATAATTAAATATTTGAAATTACTCTTGAAAAAAACTTGCCAATTATAAAGAGATTTAATTTATAAAATTTATTGATATTTATATACAATGTGATAAAAGCTATTTTTTATTTTTTTATAGTCAAAAAAATGTTGTATTATCAGTGTTTGATTAGATTTCAATCAATAAAAAAGTTTTATTTTATCTATATAATAAATTCAATTAGGAGAATATAATTATAATATAAACTTTTATTATATTAATTATCTTATATTTTATTGGATGATTTATATCATAATATTATTGGATAATATTTATTAATATCTTATTGAACACTAGCTAAAAGAGATCTTATTCATTAATATTAGATAATAGAACAAGCAATATGATTATAGCAAAGTTAGCAAAATGATCTGGACTAAATTAGTAATTGAATTCTGGTTAAACTAGCAATCTGATCATGACAAAAACAACAATATAATACTAGCAAAGTAAGTAATTAAATTTTAGTAAAAGTAAAATAGTATTATAGCAAAAATAACTCTTGTAGAACTATTAAATATTATAAAAATAATATAACTTAGCTAGTAATGTAAAAGTAAGTTTGAATACTTTAATAAAAGTCTGATAATCTTATCACTTCAATAAATCTTTTGTTAAATAACTTGTTAAAATTATATTTAATATTGGTTTTGATCTTAAAAGATAAATTATTATTAAATAACTAATTATTATATTTGACTTGAAAGATAATCACTTAATTACTTGAAAGACTTATTATTATCTTTAAATTATAAAGAAACTTAGTAAAATTTAGTAAAGTTATTGAATATCATTCTAGCTCATCACAATAAGAACACATGTTTTCTACCTTTAGTAATAGTTTTTAGTCTTTTCTATTATAAACTTAATCTCTTCTACTTTTAGTTAGTAGAAATATGTGATTAATACATCAAAAACTTAAAGTATATAAAAATAATAACAATATTTATCTTATAATAACAGTAAAAATTTAGTAATAATATTTTAATTTGCAAATATTTTTTCATTGTGAAGTTTTTCTTAATGAATTTTATTACAATTCTTGAATTTATAAAGTCATTTAAAAGAAAATTACAATACATTTTCAGAAACTTCTAAATTTTTTGTTAATAACTTTGTCTTTTTAATTAACAAAACATTATTTAAAATTATTTAATTCTAATAAATTAGTATAAATTTCTTAAAAATTAACTCAAGTTTCAGGAAAGTAACAAATTTATAATATTTTGCTTCTTGATTTATAATTTTTGTTGCTAGTCTTTTGTCTTTGAATTGAAAAATCTGAATAATTGACCATAATATTTTACTTTTCTTTAATTTATTTTATATATTTTTATAAGTTTCTTTATTATTATGAGTATAAAAACAAAATTTGTATTTTTGAATATTTATTAAAGTGATTTTTTTTGGATATCATCAATAATAAATAAATAATAATGAATTTTGAATTCAAAAAATTTTTAATTTTTACAATTATCCTGATTTTTATCTTTCTTAAGCTTATTTAATTAATTATTTTAATACATTTATTACAGAATCACTTATTCATAATTAATATTATTATAAGTTTTGGGCTCAGGTAGATAATCTTGTGATATGGATGTTCAAACAATGTCTATTTCAGTAAGTTAATAGTTGCGATCCATTTACTTTAGGATCATGATACTGTATGATTTCTTCTATTCTATTAATCTAGAATAAGTAATACTACTACTAATAAATATCTTTTTTTGTATTTATTTAATGTGATAATGGTTTTATAGCAATACAATACTGATATCTTATAGTAATCTAATTGAGTGTTCAGTAATATATAGAGTAAGTATTATAACAAAATTAATAATTATAAAATCAATTAATTTTATTAACAATAAATAAGAAGTGATTTATTAACTAGCTAGATTTTGTATTGATCAATTGATATCTTTTGGTTTATCCAAAAGATTCTTTATTTATATAAAATAATTTATTATTAAGTTATTATAATGTGAAATATGTTATATATATTAGATAAATATGATATAGCGAATAATGTTGATATATCTAAGAACTCTGCTATTTCTACTATCTCTACAATCTATGTTTAATCACATGATCAGAATTAAGAAATTAAAAAATTAAGAAATTAAAGATAATTCTGAACCATAACAAGATCATTAAAAATAATGAAAAAATAATAGTCAGTTTTTGTTCAAAAAATATATTAAGCTTTTTCATTTCTTTTCTATATTCTTCTTGCTTTTTTCAGTTTCCAGTTTGTTGTTCTTGAAGTTCTAGTATATATTGTTCTAAGATTATTTTCAATCTCCTTATACCAATAAAGAACTTCATGAATAAATCTCTTTTTTATCTCTTCAAATTCTCTCAATTTTTTTTTCTGTTATTCTTTAAGAACTTCTTGAATATTGGCAACTTTCTTCTATTCTTCAATGGCTTCTTGAACAGTCTGAAATGCAAAATGATCTTTTTTCTAGGTAATTTACTTACTTGTTGTTGTCTCTTTGTATGTAATAATATTGTTAATGTATTAATAAATAATTATAAAAAGTAATTAATCAATATATAATTAATGATTAATGATAAATAATTAATAATAAATGTCTTTGTTTTAATTCAGATCAAAACTTATCTGATCCAAATTGTAATTAATGTTAACCAATAAAATTAATCTCACGTGATAAAACTAATTATATGATTTGTTTTAATTTTAAATAAAACATATATAAAGTATCTAATTTTAAATGTCTATAACTTTTTATACAGATTTTTTTTAAAATTCTGATCAATAATTTAATAGAACTTATCTTAATGAACAATATTACTAGTTTAAGTTTTATCTCAATAAAATGTTGATAAATTTTAAAGATATACTATTTTTATTGTTAAGTATAAATTTTTGGCATCATATTTTTTTAATAAATAAAAAGTATTTGATATTTGGTGTTTTTCTAAATTATTACAAATAAAAATTCAAATTAAAAATAATTATATATAGGGATTCAAGATTTGAAAAATATTATAAATAAGAATTCTGTGCAAAGTTAACATATTCAAGTTTCATAATTCAAATTTGTATATTAAGTTTTATGACTCAAATTGTAATTCAAAATAATTTAAATCCATAACTCAAATCATAAAACACATGAAAAAAATACAAATAAAAACAAACTAGATTCTAGTAATTAAAATATTGTTAGAAAAGATAATGTGCATATATGTTTGAGTTTAGCTATAATACTAAACAAGAAAAATCAACATTTATATAAATATTAATTATTCATGATAATTGAGCATTAAATATTTAATTTGGATCCTTATTTATAATAATTTTCATTTTTGGGCCCTTAAATGTAAATTCCCCTATAAATTAATGTTTTCAATACTTACAAAGAAAACAACAGACTATGTATATAATTTTGATTGATGATGGATCTGTGATCAAACCAGCTATACGATTTGTCTTGTTTTAAGAAATTTCTATAATAAATCTTTCTGGAACTTTTTCGGTCCTGGAATGGTTCAAAACCCGATTTCTCAAAAAGTTTTATTATTTATTTTCAATAAGTAACTTAATTAATAACTTGTAAGAAAAAATTTATCTAAAACTAGTAACTTTTCGTGGATTGGTTAACAACCCTATCCAATTAGATTAAAGCTCACTATGTATAATCTTAAATTTGATGGACTATAATGACAAACTTATCATATGATGAATATGCGTCATTTTACTCGTTCGATAATCTTTTCTGGTTATTTTTGTGTAAATTCAATTAATTTCGCGAGACTTAATTTCAACAATAGCATTAATTTACATAAACAAAGAACATTTTACTGGGCTCGATTACTCTCAACCACAGCAACAATAATGAGCACTAATAACACCAGTAACAACGCGTTTAATAGAACCATCTTAGAGGAGCTATTAAAGAAGAGATTTTTCTATGCACCGGCTTTTCAAGCGTATGGTGGTAAGTTTCGTTGTTTATACTCACTTATCAGTCCATTTACGTAATTCAATAAAAAGGAAAATTGCACGCTATTCGTTAATTATACATTATTACATATGTGCATATATAAAATTCATAAATTTGTTCTCGAATACTTGTTAAAATATCATTATTTTATTCCATAAAAAGGGGTTGCTGGTCTTTATGATTACGGACCACCCGGCTGTGCACTACAAGCCAACATACTAGATTTATGGCGTCGACACTTTGTCTTGGAAGAAGATATGCTCGAAGTCGACTGCACAATCATAACACCCTCTGATGTACTAAAAACCTCGGGTCACGTGGAAAAATTTGCTGATTGGATGGTCAAAGACCTGAAAACCGGCGAAATATTTCGTGCTGACCATTTGGTTGAAGCGGTTCTCGAGGCGAGATTAGAAGGTGATAGACAAGCGAGAGCTTCAGAGTCGGATGTGATTGCCGCTGTCACTAAAGATGCTGATGGTAAATCCTCCGAACAAGACAAGAAAAGAAAGAAGAAGGGTAAAGTGCAGGCTGTAAAGTTGGGTGATTCGGTAAAGGCTGAATATGAAGAAATTTTAGCAAAGGTATTTATTTCATTAATTATAATCTAATGTCATAATAATAAACATCGATTTTCGTGATTTTAATGTCAATGTAATATATTATACAGATTGACAATTACACTGGCCCGGAACTTGGTGAATTGATGCGTAAGCATGAAATAAAAAATCCAGAGACTGGTAGTGATCTTACTGAGCCGGTTGAATTTAATTTAATGTTTGAGAGTAACATTGGACCAACTGGTGCTTTGAAAGGGTAACTTAGACTTTATATTTTTTTGTTGTAAAACAATTACTAAATGGCATGCGTAAACAAACTATTAAATGATATTATAGATATCTACGTCCTGAAACCGCACAAGGACAATTTCTTAATTTCAAAAAACTGTTAGAATTCAATAATGATAAGATGCCTTTCGCTTCTGCTTCGATCGGTCGTTCTTTTAGAAATGAGATTAGTCCAAGATCTGGACTTCTTCGAGTCAGGTGATAAAAATATATATACTAATTCGGAAATCAAGTAATCCATAGTTTGATCATTAATTTCATTCTTTATAGAGAATTTGTGATGGCAGAAATTGAACATTTCGTTGACCCACTAAAAAAAGATCATCCTCGATTTAATGAGGTCAAAGACACCAAACTTCGACTATTATCCCAATCAATTCAAGCAGAAGGAAAAACGCAGCCTATCGAATTATCGATCGGTGATGCCATTGATCAAGTAAAAGAAGAGTGAAATCCCGATAATTTCGAGTTTTTATTAATTGATTCGGAAGCTGATCTTATAATTGATTTAATATTCGAATTATAGAAAATTGTGGATAACAAAACTCTTGGTTATTTCCTTGCTCGGATACACCTTTTCTTGATCAAACTTGGCATTAATCCTTTGAGACTTCGTTTTCGTCAACACATGCCAAATGAAATGGCTCATTATGCGTGTGATTGTTGGGATGCAGAAATTCAAAGTAGCTATGTTTGTCATCACCATCATACCTTTATCATTAAATTATCTCGTTTCTGTACATTCAAATGGAACCAATTTTGAATACTTTTCCTCATAAATTGTTTCATTCATAATACAATAATAGGGATGGATTGAATGTGTCGGCTGCGCCGATCGATCAGCCTACGATCTTACTGTGCATTCCATTCGAACAAAAGAAAAGCTAGTAGTCCGTGAAACTCTACCAACTCCACAAGTATACGAGAAAACAATTTTGGATATTAATCAAAAAATATTTGGACCAAAACTGAGACAGAACGCAAAAATTGTGGAAGAATATTTAACCAGTCTTGATGAACAGCAACTGGAAAGTCTTAAAGAAGATTTGGAAAAAGGCAATGGGTAAAGTAAATCATCTTTTTTTCAATATTCTATTTGAACTATTCAATAATAAATATTGACGGTATATAAATATCTTTAGAAAAACAACTGTTCCTGGTACTAATGGTGAAGGATACGAAGTCTCGACCGAATTTTTAACCATAAAACGTCAAACATTCGCAGAGCATGGTAAAACACAATATTCCAAATATTAATTTTCGCGTTAGTCGGTTATAATTACAAATTCCAGCGAAAATGTCATCTCTATATAACAGCGTTACTTTTTAGTACGAGAGTACACTCCTAATGTAATAGAACCTTCTTTCGGTATTGGTCGTATATTGTATTCGCTGATTGAACATGTGTATTGGATGCGTGAGGGCAGTGAACAGAGAGCGGTATAATCTTTTATATTACAAAATTTTAGATTCTGAAATTTTTCATCAAAAATAACTTTCTTTTTTGTAATATTTATTGAAAAGGTTTTATCTTTTCCTGCACGCGTATCTCCCTTCAAATGTCTCTTGGTACCTCTAAGTCACCACCCCACGTTTACCGATCTTATTCAAGATATGAGTAAGTTTATGAGATCAAAGAAATTCCATTGACAATTACAATATTTGTTAATCTTGAAACGTGGATGTAATAGCTACGCGTCTTCGTAAATTGAGTATTCCCATAAAGATTGACGATTCATCGAATTCAATTGGACGGCGATACTCACGTAACGACGAGCTTGGTACACCTTTTGCCATCACTATCGATTTCCAATCGGTAAAAGAAGGCACAGTTACTTTACGTGAACGTGATACCACAAAACAAATCAGAGAAAAGGCAAAAGCAATATTTCGTTTTTTGCTTTCTTCTTATTTGACAGCAGCATTCTATAATGTATTAATAAATTTATTTATGTTTATAGATTGACACTATTCTTGTAATTCTCAAAGATCTCGTTGAAGAAAATATCACTTGGGAAACAGTGATAAGTAGATATCCCGAATTCACCCAACAAGAGCTTGATTAGAACAAAAAAATTATGATAGAATGCAATAATTTAAACAGTTTGCAATAATCCCATATCAAAATGTATATATTTTTTCAATAGCGGATCTTAATAAAATGTATGCTATTTAGAAACACGATCTTATCGCCAAGAGAAGATCATATGCATTGTTAACAAAGAGATCTTAATATCATACTGTTACACCATACACGATTGTGAAATTGCTGAAAAAAGACTCGTTTATAAAGCTTGAATTTTTTGATTTTCTAACAAAAATAAAACATCGGTTGAATTAATTATTTATTTAATTATCGTTTAATTGCAAATCGTCGTATATATTGAATTAGTGATGTTTATTGGACACTATGGATTTGCATTGATTGTCAAAGTCTGGGAACCAAAGATCCCTTTAACGTTTCTCGGATTTGCTTCGCAGGTATATAATAAATATCAACTATACGAATATCAGATATAATAATAGCCTTCTTATTATAAAAAATAGCTCCTTGATTGGATATGGGCAATTTTGGTCACATTACAAATCGAAAAAGGTATGTAATATATAAATTCACTCGTATTTTGGATATTATTACTCAGATCTATCTCATATAATCATGATTAAATAATTCAATAATGATACAGTAAAATATGAGATAGGATATACGAAAACAAATAATTTGCATTGTTATTCGATGCCATACTCGCATTCATTACTTGCGGCCATAATATGGAGTATAACACTTGCGATATGGCATAGATTATTCTCGGGAGGCAGAAATAAAGAAGCCGCGTTAGTTGGACTTGTTGTCTTTTCACACTGGATTGAAGATTTTATATGCCACAAAGAAGGTCTGAAAGAGAGGAACTTTTAATTAATTCTGATTTATGTCTTTAATGTTAAATTTATTTATAATTTATAGATCTTTTACTATTAACCTTCGATAGCACGAAAATGAAATATGGGTTAAACTTATGGGATCATTATTACACCGCAATCTTTATAGAACTTTCCTTTTTCATTAGCTCGTTCTATTACTATAAAATCAACACACGTGTCGATCCGACAAAAGCAAAAACCAATAGTTTTTGGGTAACAGAAAACGCACCGATTATGGTTCTTTGTATTATGATATTGTATTATTTATCGAGTCATATCAAAGGCAATACAATGTGGATTGTAGTGCCGGTAATGATTTCATTGTGGTTGCATGTTCATTGGTTATTTGGAAAGTTGGATGCTGCTAGAATCCCCACACTTTAAAGCTTTGATTGGTCATGATTAATATCTTGGTTTCTCATAAATTCAATATCGTTTTTTATTGTTAATGTCATATTTTTTTTACATTTATTTATTGGTTTTTTAGTTTAAAAAAGGACTTTCGCAACAATTATTAAGTAGATTTCGTTTATAGGTCATAATTTTGTGTTTATAAGATTTTGATGATCTATATACACTTAGTGAACAAAAGTTTGGAATCAGAGGTCAACTTTATTAATAAAACAGTAAGAAATAATTTTAGTTTTTATATTAAAATAAAGTTCATAAGTTATAATTTGATATATATTTTTTTTAGATTTTTTCTGAAAGTATTGTTCTAATTGCAAAATTTTTGCAAAAATTTTTTTATAACTTATGAACTTTATTTTAATATAAAAACTAAAATTATTTCTTAATAAAATTATAAACTTTAATATAAGAAGAAAATTTCAATTTTTATTGTTTTATTAATAAAGTTGATCTTTGATTTCAAATTTTTGTCTATTAAATATATATATTCAGAATAATAACCAATAATAAATACAATTTTTTGATAAATATTTTTTAAAATTGGAAATTACTGCATGAATTTCAAGTTTATGAACTTATTTAAATAATGAAATTCAAAAAATTCAAAAATATTATTAATTACAAATATTTATATATAATTTTCAAATAAATCAAATAATTAAAATAATAAAAAAGATTTATAAAGATATTTATTAAAAATAAATAATATATTTGTTTTGTAAATCAAGAAAAATTTAATTATATATTACTCATCCAAAAAAATATCAAAATATATAATTATATATAACAATTCAGCTATTAGGGACAGCTTTATTAATAAATATAAAAATAAATAAAAAATATGATGCAGAAAGTCTAAAAACATCAAATTATTTAAGTAATTTTTAAAATATTACTATTTTCTTATATAGATTTTAAATATAAAAAAGAATATGTACTTTAATAGCTTTTAGTAAGTACTATCAAAGTACATATTTTGTTTTAAAATTTTGTATATTTTTTATTGAGGAGATATAATTTTAAATAATATATATTTTAAAAAATTTCAATATTAATATAAAAAAAATAATAATTTTTTATAAAAAATTTTTTTAATACAATCAAACTTCTCTATAATCACATCCATTTATAGTCACATCCCTTTATAATCACCCTATTTTGCTTTCCCATTTATATATAAATATAGTAAAAAAAATCCCTCTATAATCACATTCTTTCTATAGTCACCAAATTTTGCTTTTCTGAGAGTGATAACCATAGAGGAGTTTGATTGTATAAAAAAATAATAAAATTTGATCAATCATATTTAATATTATAGTAAATAATCTGAGCATATCAGACATTTGTATGATTGGTCAATTCCAATTTCATATGAACTTTGATATGATTGGCTGATCAAGATATATTTATTTCATAAATATTTCAAGTGCTAATTTGAAGTTTTTAGATTAAATAGTGGTTGCTTTGATAAGTCTTCGACTCCATTATCATTATTCGTTGATTGAACCTCGTTTTCTTGACTGAGATCAACCTCAGAATCATCTTCACCGATACTCGTATCTGTGATTCTGCTAATAATAGATTTTACGTTATAATTAATTTCATTTTTAATATAATTTAAACAATAAAAACATTTATGTTCGAGATATTGCAAGCAACGTTGATGATAAATGTGGCCATATGGAAATGAAATAGACTGATCAGAAGTCGATTGCAACATTTTACAAGAATTCCGAAGATGACATTTTTCTGATGGATCAAACAGAGGGTATTCTGAACTAAACGCCATTGGCAAATGCCGTTGATCTATGTCTATATTAAGAGTTGCAAGATGGCATGAAACTTTGTTTTTGTCACGTTTTGTCCATTTGCTTTTCCCAGTGTTGTTTTTAATATCAGCAAACAGTTCTAGAAGAAAGATAGATGCTTTGTTAGTTAAACCTATTAGATCTTCTTTACAATAAGGATATTTTGTTGTCAAAACGAATGTACTCCGAAACACATTATCATGACGAAGGCAATTGATAACGCGAGCTGTTCTTGAAAGTTGTTCGGGCGTATCTGTTTCTCTTGTTTGTCGGCGAATTAGCGAATGATAATTTTCCACTGGATAATCACTAAACGCCACAAGATGCTTTTCTAAAATCTCGAGAATAGGATGGTTAATACTTTCCCAATACCAAACATCTGAAAGAAAAAACAGTGGTGCTTTGTTATAATTTCTCTGTTTGAATCAAGTAAACAAACACCATATTCTCACACAAGCCTCAATATATCCATTCCAATCGCCTGATCTAAAAATTGTTGCGTAAATATTGAGAACTAAAGGAATCGTGTCATCTAAAAGAGTTTTCAGTGTTAGGTATTCAATATCTCTACAACAAGAAAAGTCAAATTTCTGTGCAATATATGGAGTGACGATTTGCCAAGCATCTGATATTAATTGTAATAAGGTTGCTTGCCAAAATCCCTTAGTGACTGTCTAAATTCTGTCGAAATTATAATAAATTATTAGTAAATAACCCGTCGAAATTCTGACGA